GGGCACAGTCAGATAATTCCAGCTATGCCAAGACCTAGGTAGGATGACTGCAGTCCAAGGCTGGTCCAGACATAAACCAAAGCCCTACCTCAAAAATAACCAGAGCAAAAAGAGCTGGGGGCATGGCTCAAGTGGCAGAGCACCTACCTAGCAAGTCCAACACCGTGAATTTAAACCCTAGCACCACCAAAAAACACTGGTTTAATTTTTTTAAAAGCTTTGAAGTAAAATAGGTACAAGTTCATAGCTCATATCCTAGATCTACTATTTATCACTTGTGGTTTGTAGGAAAGTTATTTACTATCTCTGGGTCTCAGAATGCATATATACAAAATTAAAATAATGGAGTTTACTTTGGTTGGACATTCAGTTACCTCCATAGCTGAAAATATTCAGAGGAACATGTATCAGACAGAAGATTCTGCTTCTGTGTAACTACAATCCCTGGTGAAGACAGATGGTAAACCAGTGAACACGTAAGAATCATGTCAGACATGAAGTCCTATTCAAATAAAAGTGTCATGATAAAGAACAGCTGCAGCGTGAGCAGGCCACGTCAGACACAGTGGCCCCATCAGAAGTACTCACCCTGTGAAGATCTGGGGTTCAGCATTCCTGGCAGAGGAAATAGCAAGCACCAAGGCCTGTGTTCAAAACACTGAAAGGCAGTTTGTTTCTGTGCCCGACGTGAAGGGAGCGTGACTAAACTGTGCTGTGCTCTGAAGGCTGGTGCCTCCCTTCCCCATTCACATGTTGAACCTGGCCCTTCACGCAATAGATTTAAGGGGTGGGACCTTCAGGAGGTGATGAGGCCACGAAGGCAGAGCCCTCAGGAATGGGATCGGTGCCCTGGTGAAAGCAGCTTGAGGAAGCTTGTTGCCCTCCACATGTAATGACACAGAGCAGCATGATCTGTGAGGAACAATGCCTTGATCCTGGACTTCCTGGTTCCAGAACTTACTGCTGTAAAATAACCCAGTCAAAAGTGCTTTGTTATAGCACTTGGAGACAGATGTTGAAGCTAGCATACGATCCAGGGTAGAGATCATGGTGGCTTGAACTCTGGTGTTATCAGTGGAGAAGAAAAGGGTGTGGCTAAGGAGAGGGTATGGTCAAGAAGAGTGTGGTGTTTGAGGCCCAAGCAGCAGGAAGTGATAGGAGAGACTAGAACTAAGGTAACACACAGCAGCTGGGGAGCAAGAACTGGGGAGGAACCAGTTGATGCCTAGCAGCTCAGGGGACACTTATGAGACTAATTTTTTTTTTTTTAGTGCTGGGGTTGAACCCAGAGATTCACAATTGCTAGGCAGGCTCTTTATCACTGAGCTAAATCCCCAATTCTTAGACTGAACTATTTATTTTCCAGAATAAAGATTTTAGCCTTTAGACTATTTCTCTTCTATTTTTAGAGCTTTGTAGCAATGTTTTCAATGAGGAAATACACAGTCCTTGCTGTTTAGTCTTTTGTCCTGCCTAAAACAGATACTCCATAATCAAAAGGTTAAGTCCTAGCTGTGCACTGGTAGCTCATGCCTGTAATCCTAGCTACTCAGGAGGGAGAGATCATCGTGGTTCAAAGCCAGCCCAGGCAAAAAGAAGTTCGTGATACCCTATCTCGAAAAATCCTTGGTGGAGTGGCTCAAGGCAAAGGCCCTGAATTCAAGCCCCAGTACCACAATAAATAAATAAATAAATAAAGGTTAAGTCCTTTAATGACAAAACATATATGGACTAATAAACACAAATGATGTCCTCTAAAAAAAAAAAAAAGAAACAGTGAAGGTAAAATAAAATATTTCCGATATAAAAAAGTAAAAGAATACACATCAATACAGGCTTAAAAACAAATACTAAGGAAATTCTTCAGACAGAAGAAAAATAGTCTCAGGCACAAACACTGAAATCCAGGAAAGGCCAAAGAGTCATGGGAAGTGGATGGTAAACCTAAGGGAGTACTGACTCAGAGTTAATCCTGGTGTCAGTTAATTGGGTCAACAAACAGCCAAGGTGGGAGAGGGTAAGGGAATTAGTATCCTGAAGCCCTGAAGAGGTAGAAATACACTAATTTTTCTTAGACTTGTATAAATCTGGAATGCACAGTAAAAGCCGCTGTGGCAGTAAAACCTGTAATCTCTGCACTTGATGTGACTTCAATGCCAAACACTGCCTAAAAAAAGAATGCACAAGGATAACCACTAAAGACAGGTAAAAGAAAACAAAGGTGAAAATTAGAATTTAAAAAATATTTGATTTTTATTTTGGTTGATACTGGGGTTTGAACTCAGGGCTTTGGCTTGAACCATGCCTCTAGCCCTTAACTTAGCTAAAAAAAAAAAAAAAATCAAGGCAGAAGAGAAAGACATAAAGCAGGTGGAATAAACATCAAAGAAGCAGGAAGACAACAGATAGAACCACACACATTAGTAATTACATCAAGTGTCAATAATCAAACACCCAATGAAGCCTCTTGATGACTACTAATGGCACCATCACCATTATTCACATTCTGCAGGTGAAGAGAAGTGGGGTAACCTGGCTGGGCTGACCAGCTGGCAGGTGGAGATAGCAGGGACTGTGCAGGGTACCCTCCTGCAGCCTGCACCCCATTCCTGCAATCAGTTTCCAGCTGGGCTCTCCACAGCACATTGTTGTCATGGTGACCACGCTAAGTACAAACTAGCTCTCATTCCCCTCCTAAATTAAAACCTTTTCCTAGATTGTCAATTTACTTCAGAACAAAGGTAGTTGGTCATATGTGGTCACTTTAAATGGCCTTCCTGACCCCCTTTTCCCACTGCTTCTGCCCTATGTTCCAGAGACTCCTGGGGTTTCCACAAAGTGCAGTTTTCCCTGCCTGGAATGTGAGCAGCTCCCCTGTGGCCCCCTGGCCAGCCCCTCCTCCCATCACTATGGTGATGATACCTGCAGGCCCAGGAGCTTGCTGGTGCCCAGCACCGTGCTAAAGGCACCACTGCAACGTAAGTGTCTCTCTTCTCCACTTTCTGCACAGGGAAGTTCGGCTCAGAACGGCTACGAAGACTCCCAGCTCAATCCAGCCAGTGAGGAAACGTTTACTAAGAGACCGCCATGTGCCTGGCACTCCAAAGGCACCTGGGAAAGGGCAGTGGCCCAGCAGCAACCTCCTTGCCATACTTGGAGCTGGCAGGAGCAAGATGGTCATGAGTGGTACGCAGAAAATGAGGTAGGTAGTGACGTGATTTGCAGTGTTGTGGAAGCCCTCAGTGAGGTGAGACAGTAGAGGGAGGGAATGGGGCTGTCATCGTGCACCTCAGAAAGCAGCATTTTAGGCAGAAAGCCTGGAGGGAGGCACAGGGAGTGAATGTCATGTTAACCACCTGGCCCTGGCCAGGACAGTGGGCTCCTGGAGCGTGCTCACACCCCTGGTGGTGAATTTAAGACAGCCAAATGACACCTTCCCCACACAGTCTTCTGTGGACTTGGAACCGAGGCTGGTGTGGACCCTCCTTAGTCCACACTGCATGTCCCTCATCTTCAATCCCCTCTCACTGTCCCCAAGTCCCTGGAACCTGACTGCTTTTTGTGGAAAGGCCCCAGAGAGACAAGGGTTGCCACACACCCAAGACCCCACCAGTGGCAGGGATGCCCCATTTTGACTTCTTACAGTGGTCTCACATCACGTTCCCACTTTCCCCAAGAAAAATGGACCTGTAACAAATCCAAACCTCAAACAAAATTAGTGACATGCCCATAAAGGTTCTGAGAAACATGTATGAGGTTACAGATACAAAAATGCACCACCGCGGGCGGGGGGCACACTGTCCTCCCTCTGTGGAGCAAATGTTGGCAAGGGAGCAAACATGGATGGCAAGACCCGACAAATCAAGACTGCATCCCAAAGCATTGTGTGTGAGGTAGAGCCTACCCCCGCCCGGACCGGTGGACCCACCAGATGACCTGCGTGGACCCGGTGGACAAAGGGCATGAAGCAAGCAACATCCACGTGAAGAACTGAGGCAACTGCCTGGGGAAGGGGTGCTGGGCTGGTGACTCCTGCTGAGTCAGTGGCCTCGTTCTCCTGGGCACTTCAGCACACAGGAGCTCGTGGTCCAGGGCAAGGGGCTTTGCCCACCTTCACTTTCTCATGGAAGACTTACAGAGGCTGATGACCAACCAAGTATTTGAAGATAATCCTCCTTGGCCTGGTGAACAAAATGGTCCTTGAAATACCTGCAGAACTATTAAATCTACACATTTCATGACGTGCTCCCAGTACTACGGATGGTGAAAATCTGCATACAGCCTAAAGCAAAGCCTAACTATGGAAGAGTAGAGTGGCTCTCGGGGCAGCACCTCGGGTTTTATGGCATGTGTGTCACATTGGTCCTTGGAATGAGAGCACTATCTCTGCTGTCCATTAGAAAACTAGATTCACTGGTTTCTGGGAAGAAAGGATGGCGGGGCACTCACCTGAGCAGAAAGCCCAGCTTACTGATGCTGTTCTTCTCAATTCACATTGAATAAGCATTTCTACCCTCAGAGAAGTGAGGCTGAGGATCAGATGTGGCTTTCAAAGCACATTTGATTGTGTAGATCTCTACTGCCCCCAAGTGGTCATGAGGAATGTGACATCCTCAACAGGGAATTGTCCTCAGAACAGGTACCACGCATGAGGAGGTGAGAAAAGGCTGAGAAAGACCTCTTTCACACTGCTGTTTGCTCCATTCTAAAAACTTGGAAGCAGAGGAACAACAACAGGAAACGCTGAAAGTCAGTCAGAGCAGAGTCCCAAAGTGAGTGGCCCAGCTCCTCGGCCCAGGACAAACTACATCTGAACCACATGATACTGTGAAAATGACGAGCACAGATGTGATCTTTCTTTTTGAACTTACATAGACTATCGGTTGGTATCTTGTAACTTGCTCTTTTTAGAAAAAGCATTTTGTATAGATCAATGCAGTATAAATATTAGTCAACACCAAAAAGACAGCGGTTGTCAAGGGGGAGAAAAGAGGAATATAGCTTGAGGAGGACATTGTGTAATAAATTTATTATATGGTTACATTTCCACTTTTCTCTTATTTCCAACTGTATACTATATAATCAACTGCTGTTTCAGAAATAAAACATTTTCAACGTAAAAATATAAATTCTGCTTCTTAAAAGTGCATACACCTTGAATAATAAAACATACAAATAAATAACAGAAGTCAGTGGCACGTCTCACGCACTTGGTCTGAGAAGGTATGACGTACTTTTCTTGCCATCTTTGGGAGAGACATCCTGCCCTCCGTGTTACTGCACAACTACAGAAGAAAACTGCACAGCACTCACTGCCGAAGATGCATGAGCAATACCAATGATTTGCGCAGTGATACGACACGCAGCTTTTAAGACAACCAGAGAAACGCCAATATAAATATGGAGGAGTTCAATCAAGAAACTATTTTTGTAGTGGGTCTTGAATTCAATTTTAACCAGTGGTGAGAGGCACAGTTGGTGAGCAAACCTGTATGAAAGACAAATTCATGTGTGAAAGGAAAGGTCTACAAAGAACCTTCATTTCGGAAACTGTGACTGCCTTTCCACAGTGACCCACACCATTTAGAATAGCACCTAGAAAACTTCATAGTGACTGTCACAATTGTGACAAGTACCATCACCCTGGGAGGCCTTTCTAAAGAGGCATTTCTAACTTGGATTTTCCCTAACCTCTTTATCCCTTCAAATAGTGAAAACACCAAGTAAATGGTGCTCCGGTTTTTTTTTTTGTGGGCAGCACGATGCTCAACAGGGTGAAACCATCCGAGGACAGTACATTACTCTGAAGATGTCACATGTGCCCAACTCACCACAGATTAAAACTAATTTTCATTTGCCTCCACAGGCAACATGTACTGCCAGATTTTGGGGGGTATTACTTGATTTTTTTTAAAAATTACATAAAAAAATAGCAATGAGGGGTAAAAAAGAAAAGATTCCAAGTAAAATGTTTCACATTCATTTTTCAAACTAAAAAGAATTTCTGAAACTACATTCCAGATAAGAACTACAGTAGAGAATGAGCTAAGCAGGAAATCCAGTGGCAGCCTGGGGTTTGCAATTACTACAAAATGTCAATAGATCTATCAAAAGCAGGGACAGGTTTTCCAAGGCTAGGAAGGTTTTCTATGTGTTTTCTTCCTCCTCCCCCATGGGTCTCAGCCCCACAGTGGATCTGAGGGAACAGCTCTGAGAAGGACACAGACACCTCAGGGCACCCTGCCTGTATCCCACCAGACTGGCAAGTGCCAAGTTCCACATTGGCCTGGTATTTCAAATAGGAGACTGTCACCGTGGTTTCCTTTCTCTTCCTGTCCAAAACAAGAGAATTGGGGTCACTCGTGCGTGTGGCAGTGATTCTCGCCATCATTCTCAAAGGGATGGCATATCACAGTGGTTCTCAATTCTGACTGCAAATAAGAAACACCTGGGAGCTTTAGAGTATTTGTAACTCCTGGGACCAGTTCCTGCACTATCAGATCAACAACACAGGAAGGGGACCAGGCATTACACATTCCCCAGGTGATCCTAGGGAATGCTAGGTATCACAGCCTTGAACAAGTCACTCAGAAGCGGTGTAGGAGAACCCTGGGGAGAGCCTCTCAAGTCTACTACAAATCCCTTCTTCCCCAGCCTGGGAAAGACTGGCTTTAGATGAGTGTGAGCTGGATGTAGGCCTAAGTCTCCAGTGCAACACCATCATGAATCCCACCAGTGAAAGCTCCAAAGCCTTCCTGTTCGAGCTCCATGTCTCTACCAAAGTATTTTACAAACTGTTCGCACTATCTGAAGCCACATTCTTTCCTTGTGACGGCGGTAGAAACCTAGAAGATATAACAATTAAAATCTATACAAAATGACAGGTTATTTTTAGAACAAAATACTTTAGGAAAGTCTCCAAGCTAAATACAATATATACACCAGTATATGGTCCACACATCCAATTCCACTTCTGCTTGCAAAATACCTATTATTTTACACAGTCTAGCCAATGATCCAAACAGCTGGCAGAAACATCTATGCAAAGCAAACCAAAAGTCACATTCATGTTCATCTAAACTGATAATTAAGCCACATTTAAAAGTTACAAATTCAAAAATAGAGCTCCAAAATCTAAGAACTGCCTTTTTAAAAAAAAAACTTAACATTTAGTGTAGTCTACACTTTTTTATTGGTTGCTTGCATAGGTAGTGAGAGCATGCTTTCTGGATTAGATGGAAGGAGGCATGCAAAATTGTTTTCATTACTTGGGGAAAAATGGTCATGCACAAAAATGCAGCTGCAAAAACACTTTGTGAATTGATCAAAAAATAGTGTGAGTCACTGAGTGTTCACTTGAATAAAAGCATTGGGTTTCCCCCAAAACATGTAGTCAGGTTTAACCAGAACGTAACCTTTATGAATGTAAAGACAAGGACAGCCTACACACTAACAGTTAAGTCTTGTGTTTATGTTTACGATAGGCACTGGTTTGTCAGCAAATTTTGCTCTTCTCCACTCCAAAAAAAACGTAAGCATCATCACACCTCCAGGATGTGTTTTGTTGAAACTGTGCTTGTGACTTGCTTACTATCTCAAAAACACAACCTGGAAACACTAGTTCTCTTTGTATCCAACAGTGACAACCAACTAGGGAAACAATACCCCTGCTGTTCAGTAATTTGTCAGGATGCAATGGAATGTCACATGTCTGCCAACTTGTATAAATGCTATTTGAAGTACCTTTCTTCACAGCTCTTCACTTTGCCTTCCCTAAAGTGGCCACTACTGTTTCCTGTTTGTGCTGTTCCTATTTCTTTCATGATAGCTAATTTAGAGAGATGATTCTTTTCCCACTCACAAAATAACCCCCCCATTCATCTTACACAAACACGGACACCCAGATCCTAATGAACTGAACCCCTGAACAGAAGAGGCCACTCAGTGTGACCCTGGCAGATGGAAGAGTACAGTGTCTGCAGAGATGAAAGGGGCAGCTTTGGCTTCCAGGGAGAAGACCACAAGCCTGAGCCAACTGACCACAACACATTAGGTCTTTGTTGAGGACTGTCACTCCAGCCAGCTTCCCTTCCCAGCAGCCCCTGCCTGGTGGGCTGTGCTCTCAGGGGTCCTAAGCCACAGCCAACCCGAGAGCTTTCAGCTTCCTTTAAATACAAAAGCAGGCCCTGGATGAATGTTTGCAGAATGAATGAGTGACCAAAGAAAGATCCAAGAGTTTAAGGCAGGCTTTGATAATTACAACATTTTAGCAAACCACAGACCCTCCGAACACCCACTGCTATTGGTTCTGTATATGTTAACTTACTCTCAGTCTGCTTTTAAGATGAGAAAATACAAGAGGTGGGAGAAGGTCTCTCTCTGTGCTTCCACCCTATGTAAGGAATTGCAAAGGCAAGGTGAAGGGCTGGCTTACATGAGCAGCCTCAGTGCACTGGATGTTTAGAGAAAAGCAAATCAAGAATAAAAGGGCTTCGTAAGCAAAAAGCACCCCAAATGCAGCACTATGCTGGTGAGTGTGTGTGCTTACCAGAAAACCACTGCCCTGACCAGGCCCATCTGCTTGCAACCAGAAAGCCAGGCCCGCCCTCCTTTGATTTTAACCCCAAGGCACACACATGGCCACTGTGCCAACTATCACGGAAAAATGTGCCACCACCACCAAGCCCTAACCCTACCAAAGAGCAACAATGTTCCCGTAAGACACTTCACACTTCAGAGAGCACCTTCCAACTTATGAGCAAAGTATCTTTTTTTGTATCTTAAAGATGTGCCTAATAATAAGAAAAAATGAAATTCTCATTGCTTACTAACATGGAAACGTAACAGCAAGGGCCTTGGCAATGCCTTAAGACCTCCTGCTATTTTTCTATTTCATTAAATTTGAAACAAGGACTAAATCCCAGACATACAGCTTATAGGTTTTATTATAGAAAATTTATTTCTAGACTCCATGGAAATTAAAATTAAAAACTCTTGTAAAGGTGCATGCGTGTGTGTTTTAAAGACGTTACACATAATGGAAAATCCATTCCCATAGGACTCAAGAACAAAACTATTTACCACTATGAAAATTAAGCTAGTTTCTATTAATGCTTAACTGATAATGCCAAAAACCTGTTATCAAACCCTCTGTCTAATTCAACTCTAAGACTGCTTCAGAGCTTTGGACAGATTTCGAACGAGATCTACCTAGGAACAAGGCAAGCCGTTCACATCAGCAAGCGTTCAATTCCTGATGCTGGTGGGTCCGTGTTTGGAACGCATTTCCCAGGAAGTAAAAGCAGCGCAGGGAAACTAGAGGGATGCTAAATGCTAGTGGCTGTCACTGTGCACTGGAAGCAGTGCGAACACCAAGAGCAGCCAGGCTGAGAGCGGCACTGCTCTGGGGAACCATGGAGCCCTGTCCAGGAGAACAAGGACCCCTGTGCAGCAGGGTGTGGGGCTGGGTGCTGCAGGCTCTCATTCAATACACAGCATTGAACACTACGATGACAGGCCAAAGCTGAATGCTTAAGCCTTAAGTATTGCAAGGGTCTAAAATTCCAGCTGCCCCCAACATACATGGCCTCCAGGCTTGCAAGTCACCAGCTAATGCTCAAATCAGCAGCAAAATTGTGTAACCTATTTCTCATGAGGTATCATAGAAAAAAATAAAAAGCAAAAAAAGGCAGTGCAGAATTCACAGCTGTGTGCGGCAATCGCTTAGTATACAGCAATACTGAAAAGGGAAGGGAAATTCTAAGTGGACTCAAGAAAAAGCTCAGTCCATGACCAAAAAAATAATATTTAAAAGCACATAAACTTGGCATGCTATGTTTTACGACAAGTGACAAATGCTGAAGGAGAATCAGGACCATGACTTTCTTGACATTTTAAAAAAATAGACAAAGAGAAAAGACGTTAAAAATGGAACTACAAAGTAATGCCAGGAGACCTCCACAAAGCTTGAAAACATATGCATTTTGCTTATCTGTGAGATTTCTGTGAGGAGCCCCCTTTTCTGTATAAGAAACGCCATTTGCACCGCCACTGTCAGTGAATACACTCCAAATCCTCCTGTGAGTTCCAGGTATGAGATTAAACCTTCAGCACAGAGAAGACATAGATGAGTTTCTGAAAAGCAGTCATAGCAAAGACTGACAGGCAGGACCCGAAGCGCACATGTAACACTTGGTCACACATTGTTCAACACAGCCATCACTCACTCTTGGCAAGAGGCCACTTCTTTCCTTTCCAAGCTACAGGACAGAAAATGTAAGGGTGCACACCAGGGGCAGCACAGTCTTCCCCCCACAGAACAAGGCAACACCAAGGAAGGAAGGTATCCATTCATGCTTCCAGGTTAGAATCTTTTTTTTTTTCAGGGATCTTTCAAAGGCGTTAATTGCTCTGTTGCAGTGTAAAATCCCAATAGCCTTCACTACCAAATTTAGAAGGAAAAAAATTTAACTTATGACTGGCTTTCTGATTGTGCAATGAGTCAATACAGGTTAGGGCACTGCACATTCCTGCAGCTCTGAACCTTCCACCTGTGGCAGTAGGAGAAATGACAATCACCCACATGTCACCTTCCTCTTTAATCCATTTCCTGATGTGCATCCACTAGCCTTGCTGAGTATATATACCTGAGAACATTAGTATTAAAATATTGCCCTTAAACACTGGGAGTAGGGCCAAAGGTGCAGAAAGCAACAGCTTCCCTCAGGTTGTTTCCCTGTTCACATCACAGTTTTTGGAGCTCCTGGTGCCACTGTCAATCCACCAGAGGACAAATCCTACTCCAATGATCACACACAAGTTAAACAATCCACCCTTTTACACATAATGAAAGCTTAACTGGTTCCAAAACCCTAGTGTCCAACAAAAGTCATTAGAGTTCTCTAGAAAGAAACGTACAACTGCTAAAGGGACTGGCCAGAGAATCCTCTGCAATTACTCCAGTTAGCTTGGTATCATTGCTTTGCCTATGGCTGTTATTTGGTTCAATGGCAGAATAAGGCGACACTTGTAACAATTTGCAATTGAATTCTACACACGCACGCACGCACACACACACGCACACACACGCACGCACGCACGCACGCACACACACGCACACACACAGTCAGGCACATGGCCCAAAAAATACAAAACAAAGCATAGGGGGCTTTGGTGGGAGGGAAAGGGCTCTAAATAAATAACTATCTTTACAGATAAAACACTTGGACCGCAGAAACATCACTGAGGTGTATGAGAAGGCCGTGCAGAGGTGCGCATGCTGGCAGGTAACTTTTTGGAGGCTTTCTCCGCGGCCTGTCTGCCACTGGGAGGCGAGGGTACTCGGGAATCCAGCTGGGAAGGCTTGGATTTGCGGGCAGACAGCAGGGAATGCTTGGCGGAAGTGGGATCCTTGGAGACAAGCGGTTCCTTTCCAAGTGTGCTCGCACTGGGCTGCTGGGGGCCTGGAGGAAGGTGGCCTCTTTCTGCTTTGTCCTCCACAGTACCCTTCCCCCCTGACTTGACAGAGCTCCCACCAGCCTTTTTAGATAGCAAGGCTGTCTTGCCAAGATCAGTAGAGCGCCGGGTTTCCTTCTGTCTCAAGGCTGACTTGAAGAAGGACAGCCCTTTGTCCTCAGACTTGCTGTCCCTCTTCAGGCTGGAGCGCATGCTCGTGCTGGGGGAACGCAGGCTGGCCATGGAGGAGCTACGCACATGCTTGCCATCACCTCTGCCCTCCCCTGCTCTGGCCTGGCTCACCCGAGGGGAGGTGGGCTTGGAGGTGGAGGTCATGCTGGCTCTGTCAGAACCCAAACTTTGTCGGGAGCCCTCTCGGCTCAAGCTCCGGTCTGAAGTCCTGCTCCTTCCAGGAGGAAAGGGGCCTTTGGGGGCAGGGCCTGAAGCTTTTTTGGCAGCTGTGGAGGCTGAGCTGTTAGCAAGGGCAGAGGTCGACTTCTGCTTCTGCAGTGAAGGAGAAGACAGAGAGTCCTGGGACTTGGGAGACGACTCCTTCCTGGGTTGGGCTGGTGCAGGGGCCGAATGCCGCCCACTGGCCCTGGCAGAAGAATCGGCTTTGCTCCGAGAGCGGGAGGGCTTCACAGAAACCTTCACAGGGACGGGAGAGGAAGGAGAAGTACTTGAAAGAGACGATTCCTGGCTCGCCAGGGCCGGTCGTCCCTTCCGCACACTTTTCTCTGGCTCAGGAGTGCCTCTGGCACTGGGGGATATCTTGGCTGTGCTCTCTGATTTCTTTGTGAGGGAGACCAGGTGGCCTGGGGGTTTCACCTCTTTGACTGGAGAGCTATCTACAGAATCGCTCTGATCCACATAAGCAATCTGGTTATTATTGTCAAATGGATCAGAGACGGGAGGCAAACAATCCCCTTGTGCTAAGTTTTGGTTCTGTGCATCTACGACACCAGAGTTCAATCTGCGGGCATCTGACTCGTCTTTGAACACACCTTCCATGACAGCCAGTGGGGCCCGGCCCATGGCCTTGTGCTCGCGTCGACCGTAACTGTTGCTTGGCTCCTGGTAGCTGCTAGAAAGGTTTCGTAGGCTACCAAAGCAAGAGATGGAGACTTTGTCATCCCCTGCCTCTCCAATCCTCTCCAGAGTAGAGGCGGAGCCGTGAATGGGAGAGTCCCCTGAGAACCGGGAGGGAGAGTTGGAGCGCATCTGCAGCCTGGCAGACAGGGACCAGGAGGGTCTCATGCAGTTTTCATTGACAGCCAAGGGGCTGGTGACAGAAGATCTGCACGACAAGCTCTGACGCTGGACACTTCTCACAAATGGTCGAGTGGAAAAGCCTCCTGAACACAGCAGAGAGAATTCATTACACTAAATCAACAAAGCGTTCCAGTAACTGTTTTAAGATACTGAAGATGGAACACAGGGAATCTGTGGGGAATGGCAGGAGTCAGCCTATCTGGGGTCAAGGACTCCATATGACCTCATCCTTCTGGAGCCTAACTGGGGCCAGCAAGCTATCCTCTGTGCCACCTGGCTCTACATCAGTGCCAGTACACCCCTCAAGGCCCAGGTGGTTATGCCGTGCAGGCAACCATTCACCTCTGCTACCACGGTGCGACAGCAGCCACTAGAAATACAAACCAGCAGGCATGGCTGTGTTCCAAAAACATAACTTACAGAAAAAAGGCAGCAGGTGTATGTGGTCAGCTGCAGTGTGACCATAAGTCTAATGTGATAATTACATCAGATCTTGGAAGTGTGTGGCCAGCAGGGCACCTGACACTCCAATAAGCTCACTAGACAGGAGCTGCTAACCAGCCCTTTGCCTTCCTAAAGGACATCTGGAGCTCGCAGAATGAAGTCCCTGCCCAAGATTACACAAATAATTAAAGGCGGAGCTAACACCCAAGCCCAATAGCCCTGACCCCCTCACTCAAGGAAGGTAGTCTACAATAGCTGACCATAAAAGTAGATCATGGAAAAAGCTAGAGACCACCCTGAGTGACCTAAAACTTCAAAGAAAACACAAGAAACTTGTATTTGCAGTGGCTTGAAACTGCCAAAGAAAATACTCTTAGTTGAATTCTATACACACTTGATACTGTAGCTGTGGCATTTATAAAACTGTCTGCATAAAGTCCTAAGAGAAGCTCTGACCTACAAGCACCCACCCCTCGATCACTAAATGATTTCACCAACTATACTGTTAAAAACAGACTGAGGCAGGCCACACCAAAGCTCACTGTCAAATGACAGTGAATTCTAAGTTCACAGGCTGTATAAAAACAACCTTCACCTAATCAGGGAGGGTTCACTAGTTGGCTGCTCATGAAATGTGAGGAGCTAGAAGTTGGACTAGAATAGTCAAATAGTCTTATTTTATAAATAAACCAGCAATCAGCTGGAAGAGCTGGCAGAGCTGGAGCCTCGGTGCCAACCTCGTGGTCTGGCCTCCTTCTTCCAGCCTCTTGCAGTTTTAGCTTCACTTCATTTTTTCAGCATGATCCAGCACCACTAGGAGCAGATCAGAGCAATTGAAACACCGGCCACAGAGTAAGCCTCACTGGAAGATGACTCACCATGCTCATTATAGAAGCTGAGCTCACCTCTCCTCCTTCTGGCTCTCAGTTGCCCAACCCCCCTTCCACCCCACCACCACCACTCAAAGTCTCTGTCAGAACTAAGGTTTATCCTGCTGTTACTCATGTGGTAAGTGAAAGTTAGAAAAAAAAAAACAGGTTCTATTTTTATCATAGTTTCCCACTCTTTACACTGACTATCTTCAGAAGAAGTGTGAAGCTGAGAGAGCCAGAGTCCCTCCATGCTAGGCCAGGAACAGCAACTCCACACCAGGTGGCCCTGAGTAAGGCATAATCTCTCTAAGCCATTATAGCCACTGTGAGGATATAAAAAGCACTTTGAAGGGCTGATGGCATGGCTCAAGTGGTAAAAGCACTTTGAAAGAAGCGTGCCTGGTTACCCAGAGTCAAGGCTCCAGGAGGCACAGAGGACTATGAAAGTGGACAAAGCGAAAGGGAAGCCCTGAGTTCACAAAGAGCTAAGGAGCCCATTTTTTTAAAAGTTAGATCTTAAGTCACAGCCACAGCTGTGCAGTTTCTCTGCATAGCTCTGTAGCTCTCACCTTTCTCAATCTCTTTGGGACTTCCTCCCTACAGTGAGGGGCCCTGTGCTATGTCACGAGTTGCCATCACAGAGATCTGTCACCAGATCCCTCACCCACCGTCATCTTCACTCCTTTCCCCAGTCATCTCCACAGACTCCGAGAGCGAGGCCAGGGAGGTGCGTCTGGAGGAGGCAGCAGAGGTCACGCTGGCTGGCTTGCTCCCTGGGAGCCGGCTCACCCAGTGCTCGCACAGAGAAGAACTTGTAGAACCTGCAGAAAAGGGAGTGGGGGGTGAGGTCACCCAGGGACCATGGCCAGAATTCGCGGCACACATCTCATGAAGGTGCTGTCAACTGAACCAGGGCAATTGATGTCTTCTCTCTGAAGTGAAACAGAGTTCCTGAGCCAAATACCCCCAGTGACAACGAAGAACTGTGAAGCATCTCCTGCACACAAGGCTTGCAGTAAAGAAAGACAAGTACGGGATGATACTTCAGAATGCAGCATCTGAATCTTAAGCTTGGCAAGAGCATGGAATATGGACAATCATCCAGACAGCAGCAGCATCTACTAGAAATGTCTATTAAGCAGCTACATGCCAGGCCAGGCACTGTTAGAAGCTCTTGAGCAATATTTCTGACTCGGAGAAGAGAGTGAGCTACAGTGCACTGCTTTTTTTTAAATTAGCTTTACTGTCGTGTGCCCTTAAGTATGTATTAGAGCAACAGAACATGCTCTTGAAATTGGGTGAATGGAACAGCATGCGCGTCTCAGGTCAACCTCAAGCATGTGCCACTTCTGAGCCCATCTCAGATTCAGAATGCAAAGAAGGAAGGCCTAAGAGCACTCGCGTTTCTGCTTCCTGTCAGTCAGTGAGCACCTACACACTAAGTGGGGCTTGAGTGAAGCTTCATTGATGCTGCTGTGAACTTGCCCCACACAGGCCAGGAGAGGGGCACTGGTTGCCATTCCCTGCCCTGCCGACACATTACCACGTTTCAGTCTTCTGTCATATTTTCTGGAAGTCTCACGCTGTGGCAGGAAGCACCTGCCCCCATTCAGAACTTGTGTGGCTGCATGCGTGTTGTGTGTGGGCACCTGTTCCTACATTTATTAACTCAAGCTAAATGCCATCAGCTAAACCAAGCCATCATGCCTTCCCTTAACAGAACAGGTCAGTCTTCTCTTCTAATGACACTTTATCCTTTACAAAATGCTTTTCCATACCTTTACCTACTTTTATGCATGCGACCCCATGAGGAAAGTGTTATGGTGACACCCACGTTAAAGATGAATATGTGGCTCGGATGGGACATGCGCCAACAAAACCCAACGAGGAGGTTTCTGAGCACCATGACGGCTACCATCCCGCTCAGCCACCCACTTATTCCACAGGAAGATACTGCAAGCTGTCTGAGCCAGGCTTTGCCCCACCACTAGGTGAACTCTGCGAGTCCACCCTGGCTTTCACAGTCTACCCCTGCTTCCATGACTGCATCACAATGGTTCCCACGTTAAATGGGAATGTGAGAATTAATCTAGTCAAATGCAGTCACAAACCCTTCTGAGACACTCTCAATGACCGTGAATTACCACCTTCTGCCAAGAACCAGAATCAGGCTTACCTGCCACTGAGCTGTTGGCTGACCAGGATGGGATGGCTGTCCGCCTCTGGTAGAAAAGGATGTAGGCCGTCTGTGTGCATACCTCATCTTCTGACAGCTGTTGGACATCACTGTCATCGAAGCAATACCAGAGACCGTCCACAGAGTTCTTACAGTACGCTGCCAAGAAAAGCCCAGTCAGCACTTCCATTCTTCCCAGCACCATCCTTCTGACTTATATAATTAATTTAGCGACTTTTAAAGGCTGCACATAATAATAGAAAAAAGTTAAGAAAAAACTCCAAATTCCGTATCACATTGGCAAAATGTTCCGAGAGATTCCAAACTATTCCAAGTATATAACAGTTCTGTTTCGTCTCAGAAAACACAGTAATCTTATTTATTTAAAGCACTGGGTCTCAATCCGAGCGATTCTGCACTGCATAGGAAAATTAGGAAGGGAGACATTTTGATTGTCACACTGGGGAAGGGTGCTGCCAGCATCTGGTGGGCAGAGACCAGATATGTCTACAATGCACAGGTCAGCGCAAAACAACACAGTTATCCAGCAGAAATGTCAACAGTGCCAAGGTTAAAAACTCTGATATTTTGTTGTAACATTTTAGTGTATACTAGCAATAGGAAATAATATTACCAGAAATAATCCAGCAGCTAATATCTGACAATTAATACATCACCCATGTCATCTAATCCTGAGATTTATTATTACTCTCAACTTACAGAGGCTCAAAAAGACAACCTAGCACTTCTATGGTCATACAGCTGGTGAAAGGCAGAGCCAAGTGCATTTGAGGTTTACCTAATCCTTGAGCTTGCACTTGCACCACCCCCCAAACCAGTCCTCCTTCCCTCAGGGGGTAGCACAAACAGTGGTCCATGGAATTGGAGCACAGGAACACATGAGGCTTTCTCTCTATTTGAAATGCTAAGCCTGAGATAGAAATAAGGAGCATTCAGGTGCCAGCAGGAACAAACAAGATGAAAGTGCTTGGAGCTGGGGGTGTGGCTCAGCATTAGAGCACACCCACAGCACACACAAGACCCTGGAGGTAATCCTCAGTGCACCTCCACCCTGCAAAAGAGAAAACCTCAAGAGTTCAGGAAGTCAGGTCATCCTGTAAGGATCTATCAAGGGTCTTATAAACTTGACCCAAAAAGGCGCATCATCATCACTTTTTCTAAAAATATCCATTACTGGAGGACAGATGATGCTAGAACAGCTGAATGCGGACAAACGGTATGGCCCCAGGGACAGGGCATATCGTGTCCTGAGAGGCACTATAAACCACAACACTTTTGCAAGGATGCAACTGTAAGACACTCAAAGCCCTGAATTTAAACCCCAGTACAGCCAAAAAGCGGAGGAGGGAGACCCAGATGAAAAAGGGACACTATACAGATAGGTACCCCAAAAAGCAGAGGGAAAACCTAGTAATGTGGAGAGGGAAGTCATTTGCAGCAAAGGACCCACCAGACCCAGGGGGAAATAGAGACACAGGCAGCAGCAACAGCTCTGGCTCGATCACTGCTGTCAGGCCAGGCTTGATGTATAGATGACCCAGCTGCCCAGGGGGCTGCTATTCTAGTGTGAAATGGGGGAGGAGCTGTAAGAGGACAAGAAAAGGGAGCAGAGTTCAGTTTCTTTCTCTTCATGATGCCCTGCTCCCGGTCATGGTGCCAACAAGGCCACACAGTCATTCATGTGAGCAGTGTAGTCACGAGATAATTCTACTTGCTTTTCTTCCTAGCACTGCCTCTTGAAGTGTTTTCCAGACCCATGCTACTTGAACTATGGCTCAAAGACTGGTGCCTGCCCACAACAGGAGAAGCAACAAAATGGAGATAAACATTCAAAACTCTTATAGCTATCTGACACTGCTATGGCATTTTTACTGTATTTTTTACAAAAGCATTGGCTCATGAAACACTGGAAGTTTTAAAATAGAAAGAAACAAGGTCTTCATCACAGATGGTTTGAGAAGCACTGTTCTAGAATCGTTGCTCAAGTTAGCCATGCACACACCATGTAATTATAGCCAGAACTAGTGCAAAATAGAGAACATGTCCAAACAGACATTTCCAATGCAACTGAAAAGCAGAGCATCTTTCATTCAACAGTGCACGAGGGTATCCAAAATAGTCTCTAAACAAGACTCTAGGCATCTTCTACAGCCGACAAGCAGTGGTACAGTTTAAACATGGGAAAGGAGAAATAACAGAAAGTATTTGAGCCAGTCCACATTTTCCTGAGAAGCAGTGTTGTAAGTGGGAGATGACTTCTTTACCAAAGCTTAACCTAGATGAACATCCACTGGGGATGCTGGTGATGGCTTACTGCACAAATATGAAGTTAAATGACCTCTAAACCCCCTTCATTCTTAGAGTCCCTGAGTATATAACTCAGTACCAAAGGACACGGGTATTACTGTAATGCCACAAAAGCAAATCTCCAGCCAGACATACAACCTTTATTTAAGTGGCCCCCATAAGACAGAAACAATGTATGCAAGACATACATATCATAATTTAAACTGGGCTCAAGCCAAAACACAAGGTAAAATATATCCAAGCATTTAATGAATCCTTCACCTTGTATGAAGTCAGAGCACATGTGGAACTTCTGCTTCTCCTTGCAAGTGCTTCTCAGGGCAAGCTCTATCTGAGACACACTCAAAGATGGGGAGCATCCCACCCACAAACAATTGCCACCACTGGCATCTAAATATTTAAAGAACTTCAGCTAAAAAGGTTACAAGAATAAGAGACTGCAGGCTAGAGGAGTGGCTCAAGTGATAGAGCACGTGCCTACCAAGCATGAGGCCCTGAGTTCAAACCCCAATACCAGGAAATAAAAAAAGAATAAATTGCACGCAGCCATTTTCCTGATCTCCTTCTCCCAGGGAGGCGAAGAACAGGTTGGAAAAGGTAGTATGCAAAGCTGGAAAGCTGACAGAACCTTTTACCTTGCTGGCAGGGCAGGGAATTCAAGGCTTAACTGCTAGGGATGTGTGAATACCAACTGGCAGAGATTCCTCCTTCATCTCCACCCAACTTTAAAAACCAGCCAGGCACCAGTGGCTCATGCCTGTAATCCTAGCTACTAAGGAGGCAGAGAGCAGGAGGATCGCAGTTCGAAGCCAGCCGGGATGAATAGTTTGTGGACCCCTATCTCGAAAAATCCTTCATAAAAAAGCGCTGGTGAAGTGGCTCAAGATGTAGGCCCTTAGTTCAATCCCTAGTACTGCAAAAATAAATAAATAAATAAATCGTCAGCCCTAATGTGCGAGGGTCTCATCACAGAAACCCTGAATTGATGAAGAAATAAGGCCCTGAGAAGTATGTGCATTAAATATAGCGTATAAAGGATGAAGAAATCTGAGTCATGGCCACCCATACCAAACTGACTTGATACACCAAATTAACAGTATCGTTCTCACATCAACTTTTACATAAACAGATATCCAAGCAAGAAGCCCTAACATCTGCCTGGCCTCCATAGTTCGTGCGTGCCATTACCCAATAATTTCATTTCTGAGGCTCAATTCCAAAAAAGTTCAGAATTAAAATTCAGAAAAGCGAACATGCTCAAAGATGTTCCTCAGTATTTGATTAAAAGTCAAAACCGGAAACCATATAGCTCTTCAACAATGGAGAATGTGCCAATTAATGACAGAGATGTGTCCTCAGAAATGCGGTATCAAGGCAATTTCATCATCAAACATCAGAGTGCAGTTATGCAAACTAAGAGGCTACAACATTACCAGGCAACATAAGGGGTCCTGAGGTACGTGTGATACCTCTAAACCCACCAGCCCCTAAGGTGGTACAGAGCAGGCAGCAGGTTTCTGACCTCAGTGGCTCTTCCTGCCCTCAACATACCCTGACCACACCTTCCTCTGGCTCCTCTGTCCACTGTTCACACTCCCACCACCACTACTAACACAGTACTGCTCTTTTTAAATTTCTTTGAATCTACATCTCCTGCTATGTGATTATACTCCTGGAAGACAGAAGTTGGGACCTATTCATCTCTGGTGTAACAGAGTTCATGCAAGTAACCACAAGGTTCTTAATAAATGTCCACCTGAATAGAACACACCAGTAGCATCATAGCAGTGTAAAATAATAGCAAAAAATTACAGAAAAACACTGGATATATAAGCATACATCAAGCTGTTACCAACACACATGGAACACTATCCAGGCTTAAAAAGGAATGTTTGATGCATTCTATAAACACAGATGGATCTTAAACAAATTATACTAAATAAAATTAACCAGTCACAAAAGAACAAACATGGTCTGATTCCACTCATTAGAGGTATCAAGAGTAGTCAAATGTATAAACGTGGTGGCTGTCAGGGGTTCAGGGAGGGGAGAGTGGAAGTTAACTGTTCAGTAGTATGGAGCTTTCATTTGAGAAGATGAAAAAGGTTCTGGAGATGGACAGTGATGTTGGTTCCACAATAATGTGAGTGTACTTAATGCCACCAAACTGTATGCTTAAATGGCAAAATGGTAACAACTTTTGTCTTATGTATATTTTATCATGCTTTTTTTAAGATGTTAGCACTGGTTATCTTTGAGTGAAAAGCCCATGGGTAATGGTATTCTTTCTACCTCTCTCTAGTTTCTAAATTGCTTATGATGAGCAAAGTTGCCTTTATAAATGAAAAAGCAAATTTACCTTAAAGCAAAAAGAATAACACTTCAAAAGTGGTTCACAATCATTCTAAACAAGGGAGGTGCTAGAACCTTAAGAAAGTAGAGCAAAACCTCCATCGAGGAGGCCCACTGGGTTAAGCAGAGCGAATCCTCAGGTGTGCTCAACCATGCTATCTGTGTACACATTTCCTCCAACAGGAGAAAGAGGAAGACTTCCACAGACGTGTTCTTGGATAGAGGTCTAGCGATGAGCAGCCTCACAGTGGGCACAGCCACTGGAAGAGAAAGGGAGCTGCAAAGCCACATCACCCTGCCACAAGCAAACAGCCTGAAGAAAACGTCGCACACACGCAGCCTCTCGCACTGCAGACCTGTGTAGTGCCCCCCTTGCATGGTGCCATGGTGATTGCACACAGCATACAGGTCATAGATGTAGTCCTCAGGGTCCCTCCCGAGTCCATAGGGCCGTCTCCATGGGGACCAATGGGATGGCAAGCTCCAGCTGCTTTGGCTTCTCTTAACCACATGAGGTGTCATGTCCAGGCCAGTCAAGGGAAACTTGACCATGTTCTGAAGTTTCATACGCCTGTCTCCTTCCTGTTACAAGAAGAAAAACACATTCTGATAACATTTTAATGTGGGCAAATGGCAAATCAATTCAGGACAGAATGTGGGCCCTATCCACAATATGGTTTGGGTCACCAGTCTAATATTTTCCAAAACACACAAAATAGGAAAAGAGACCAACAGTTTCTGTCTAGAATAACGGGTTTAACACACCTGAAGTGAAACCAGTGAGGGTTTACAAATGGATAAATGAGCCTCTCCAAGTTTTCACTCCCTTATTTGTTTGGTTTTTGGGGTTTTAGCTTACAAAAAAAGCAACTTCAGGTGGTTCATGCTCATACATCTATAAAGAGGAATGAAAACTATGCAGTGATAACTGCATGAAGGGCAAACCCCGGTGCCCAGCACAGAAGAGCCTTTCAATAAGCAGCGCCCCTCCCACAAGTCCATGAAAAGTTCACAGTGAGGCTGGGGCATGGCTGAAGTGGTAGAGCAGTTGCCTAGCAAGCACGAGTCCCTGAGTACAAACCCCAGTACCATCAAAAAAACCAAAGAAAACATGACGAAGGCACTGACTTGGCTAGGTATATTTATTTTGCTGACAACTTTGGGTAACCTGTATTTTCCATGATGCCCAAAGGAAAATCCTTTGAAAGTCAACCTTTAGTTGAATAGATATGACTACATGCGCCTGTGTCCATGGGAACTTCAAAAAACTAATCAGGCATGAACATGCCACCCACGTTTTTCTATTAAGACAAGAAAAACATCGATGGGAAAAAAGAAGAATGGGTCCCGAATGGCCAGACTGAAGAACAAGGCCTCGTCCTGGAGCAAAGAGGAAAGCACGGAGACTACTGGGGAGGCAACATCAGCCAAGTGTGGGTAAAACATGTCAGAGAGGGCAGAGCCATGGAGGCTAAAACCAATGAAAAGACACTGCAAGTGTGAGCAGCTGGAAAGTAAGAAAAGGTCTGAACTAGCAGGGTGACAGTGACAGCAGGAACGAGGAGGAGACACAGGATTCAGTGAAGAGGCCAAGCTGCCAAAGGGCCTGCCACAATGAGAGGGGCAAGAGAGAACAGTCAAAGAGGATGCTGCAATTCTGAGTTGGGTTTCTGGAGGGAGAGGGTACACTGCCAAAAGAAACTGCAGGCATAGGAAATCAGCCTCTATGAGGAACCTGGGACCTAAACCCTCAGCCAGCTTTCCACCTGCAGAGCGCAGCCGAAGTAAGGACTGGGCACCAGAGGCCCACACTTCACTACAGTGGAAGCTGAACCCTAAATGTCTGTGTGAAAGCCCAGATCCTGGGGACCATGCATGGGTCACCCCATCTCTGCTTCTCTCAAGTCCTGCCACCTCTCCAGTCTGCTGGCCTCTCTGCCTCATGGCCACAGCTCTATCACAAGCCAGCAGCAGCCCTTCCTGATGACTTCAGGCCTCCTCCAGGTCTCCCCATCTTCATCCCTCTAGCCGCTCATCTGCTCTCCATACAGCAAGAACAATCTTTTATAAACACACATTTGACAATACTACTTCTCTGCTAAACTCCTTCACCAGAATCCTACACAGGTCTGCTTGAACAACTGGCCTCTGCCAGCCTCTTCTACTCCAACTCTCCACACCATCCCACCTCTGGGCACAGCCCCACTGGCCTGCTTTCAGCCCTGGCAGGAACTCTGCTCCTTCAGCCTGGGCTCTGCACATACTGCTCTCTCTACCACTGCAGTGTGCACCCCAGCTTCCATCTCACATGGAAATACCTGCTTATCTTTGAGAACTAAAATCTTACAGCAGGCCCCACAGACTTACTCCACTAACGCTCACCTCCCATGTACCTTGTTACAATGGGACTGCCTAGGATAATCGTGACCTCGGGGAACAGACAGCCTTTTGGGAAAGACTGACTCAGAGCAATACAATGAAAAGCGATCTCCCTGTATCTATGTCTGACTCATCTCCCGGCTCCTTGGGAGGACAGCACTCAGTATCACATTAGGTAGAAAACAGAATTCCTCCAGAAATAATTGCTCCTTATCTTTTTTCCTAATATCAAAGTAAAAATAACAAAATGTAAGCACAACATTTACAAATCCAAAGAGAACCCTCAAGAACAAAGCAGAACATCTGCAAGAAGAACCACAATTCTCACGATTTAAAGTGGCAGGGGTTGCTCAAGTTTTGCTTTGGGAAAGCCCAAAATATGACCCAAATGGGTAAGTGTGTGTCTGCACATACCCAGACAGGGTCTGTGGACCAAACAGGGATGCTGAGGAGCTGTGAGGCTAGCAGTGCCTTGTTACATTGGGCTTCCTTACCTGGCGAAACCTCTTGAGGTGGATGATAAGCACATCAGGCAGGGTCCACAGGCTCAATGTGATGCTCCCCTGCTGCAGCTGCTTGCAGTGTGGGCACCGCCAGGCATCGTCCGGGGCAAGCTGAAACAAGGAGCATGACTTCTGCTAGGCACAGCTTAATGTGAGACTATCATGGCAGACAGCTGGACTGACTTCCAGTCCAGGGCCTGGTACTACTCACAAGTCTCTGGAAATTGCATGAGAAGAGTCAAAGGGATAACACGCACAAGTGGCATTTGCCAGAGCTGGTTCCCAAACACATGTGACCATATATCCCTTAAAGAGAAACTAAACTGGTAAATGTTAGATGTCACAGACGCACGCCCCCAAACAAATCACCATCTTTCCATCAACAGGGACCTTACTTCTACTGCGCCAGTACATCCTCCCTCAGCAAATCCCCCTGCTGCCCCGTCAAACACCCAAGCCTTCCTGCTTCCCTATTCCTCTCATTCCAAATCCACCCAAAGTAATTCCTCTCTGCCATCTCTAAGCCTGTCTCTTCTCCACACCCAGAGATGGGTGAGCCATCTCCACACCCACTACCACCACTGCCCTCCGAGTACTCGTTCCCTCACCTGACCCAAGTCTCCTGCCTGTTCTCCCAGCACTGAAATTCTCCAAACATCCTCCCTCCTGCCGTCAACCACTTGCTCTAAATGTCACAGGAGGCCAAAATCCACACGCTGTCTCTTAGGAAATTTCAAGATGGAGCCACACTGATTTAAAGATACCGGTGTGTGAGAGAGACCCTCCTGTGGAATTTAAGAACCTGCCTAGGCAGTACAAAGCCCTGAGTTCAAAGTCCAGTATCACCAAATAAATACATAAATAAGTAAATAGAGAAATACCAAACCTCAGAAGCCAGCAGAGCCTGACAATGCACAGTGAGAAAAGCAAACCCAAAGCACTCCCTTTAAGCACACCAAGAAAGCAGAGTGGTGTGAATGGCCAGTTATTGGTCCACAGGCAATGGGAAGACAAGGGAAGCCAGAATGTGAGTCAGACGTAGGACAAGAGGCTGGGAAAGGAGGGGAGGAGTGACACTGCCAGCAGTAAACTCAGACAGAACAGAGAAGGTCACCTCACTAAAAGGAAAGTAGTATCGAGGAGCCCAAAATATCATGTGGCAAGCTGCATCTCAGTGCGGCACGTTAATCCTCCCACTCGTGGCCAGCCAGCCCAGTGCTTGTAGTAAAGAGCAGTTTTTGTTTGTTTAAACCCCAGTGCATTGTAAATGGACACATCTATAAAATATAGTGTGAATGTTGTGACAATGTCTAATTGCTCTGACAGTTTCTAAGATACTCCTCTGGTTTCTGTACCGATCTCACTATTGCTGCTGAAAAGCTCCCATCCTGAAGATCACACTCTAGTCAACCCTGCCTGGCATCGGAGAGCCAGCCTGCTCAAGCAAACAATGACCCACTTCCAGACAGTGTGCTAGGCCTTCCACATATGAAGACAAGACCACTCTCCTCATCACTTCCAATCTTTCGATTCTGCTTTTTATACAAAGTAAGTCCAATCCCTCATCCACACACAACAGTACTTCAAGTGCCTGAAAATAACCACCAAGTACACTTGGCTGAGTCATGGCTCCCAGGTACTGCTTCCTCTGCTATCTCTGCCTGTGTCCCAATTCTCCATCCTCTTAACATGAACACCTAAAGCCATGAAAGAGGGAGCACTACTGCCATCAGAGTTTTGGGCATGATGGTGGCTCATGCCTCCGGGGCCTGCTGATTAATACTGAGTTTGCGGACAGCTAGACCCCCAAGTACAACCACTCGGCCGACAGCCAAGTCCCACCTCCTCCTCTTCTGTATATTTGTGCTGTTATTTTGGGCCCAATGATGAACTTCCCAAGCATCACTCATGCATCCCAGGACACATTTACTGAACCCTGCTCTAGCTCCTAGGGTATTTAGTGAGAGACACATGGAGACTCTGCTCCTGCCACACTCACTGTCTTGACTCTCTCCCTACCTCCTGTGCTCAGCCACGCTGGCCTCACTTCTGTTTCAGACCATGATGGGCTCCTTCCTAGCCCAGGACCTTTGTTCCCTTTAACTGCTTATTAACCTCCTCAACTGTGAACAGTATTTGGGCAAAAATGCTATCTGACCTGTACTCCAGCACCTTGTGCAGTACCCTGCACATAGTAGGTAAACAATAAACATCTAAATGAATGAGCCCATTAAAACCTATCTTGCTAGTGTGGACTCATCATTCCAGGCACTGAGATGTTCATCCAATAGATATGCTCATTCCTAAGCTTTGTGACCTCCAATGTCCCCCAAATCAGTTTTTTATAAAAAGCACTAAAAAGGATAGGGTGTCTACCACACAGAGTCTGCAATCAGCCAGTTTCAAAGGCAACTATTTTATAACTCAGCCCAAAACAGAAAACAAACAAACCACCGTGTATTTAAAACCACAGTTAAAACAACTAGCTATGAACAGCTTTGGGAAGAGAACTCAGTTGAGAATATGGAAATTGCTTTCAAATATTTGAAGAAAGGTGGAAGAAAATACAACTTTTCAGTTTTAACAAACTCAAGAGACAGAGAACACCTCACTTGGTTGTAGAGACCAGGGGACATACTTCAGGTTAACTTCAGTTACCATCAAAACTATTGAGAGCAGAAAAGGTGTCAAGACTTGGGTAGCAAGCCCCTCTTAACAGAAGACATTCAAGCAGAGGCTGGACAATTACCTCTTTGAAATTAGGTAGAAGCACCCAACCACCAAAACAAAAAGGAGCTTTAAGGTCCCCTCTGATCTTAAAGATGCACAGTTCCCTAGGTACGGGAATAAAGAATAAAAACCAGTGTTCAAAATTATGATCCTAAACATCAAGAAAAGAATATATGAACTGCAAGTGCTCTAATGGAGGCTTCCCAAGGCATATAAAAACCTTAGAGGCCTGGACCCCACTCACAGACTTATTTTCCATACACCTGTCCATCTGCTCCTTAAATATTCACTGTCATCTACAAAGCACCACTGCCCAACAGCTCCTCCGGCGTGAGCTGCTCAGTACAGGGGCAGCATTCAGAAGCGCCCACCGAGCACTGGAAATGGGGCTTGGAACCAAACTTCTCGCTTTACTTTGCTTAACCTAAAAATAGGTCCTGACCTTCCTTCTCAGTACACACCAAGTTGAGAAACACTGCTCATTACTGAGGAAAATAATTTAAAACTTCTAAATGAAACAAAACAAAAACCCAAAAAAACCCGATCATTAGCCAATAAAAAGAAAAATTGGGAATTAGAAAGGTTAATTTCTAGAGCATTCTGACTAATTAAAAATTGAAAGTACTTTCTGGAGAACATTCTAGAAGTAACAGCACTAGGACCACTGCCCAGGCAGAGCCTGGGGGAAAGGGGCAAACTCCTGGACGCACTCTGGGGCAGAGTCTGTTTCTCAGCATCCCTCACCATGCCCTGCCTCTTACCCGCTCCTCTTTGGTGTAGAGTTGGAAGCACTGGGATAAGGTGCAGCTCTGAGGCTGATGATGGCGCTCCCTCTGTATACGGACACTCTCTGCATCTGGGATGTACTCATCTTCAGTGTTTACGAACAAGCTGCAATGAGAATGAAACGCAGTTATCAGAGTATTTGTGTCTTGCAAAACAGACACACAAAAATATAGTTACAGCTTCACAAAGGGATTATGAATTCAGAATCCAAAAACCAATGTGTAAGAAAACAAAAGTCATCCAACTCTTCCATGTTCCACAGTGTTCTAGAGAAGTTCTTCATCAACCAAGTTACTTTAAACACTAACTTACAAAGGCGCTCCTCTGGGACTGTCTGTGAACTGTGTTGATTTAGGCATACTTCTTGCCTTTTAACCAAGGGCATGCATCTGACATGGCTTCTAGAGTTGATTTGCGACTGTCCCTATGCTAATGAACACATGCCTTCTCTCAGCGCAAATGCATGTTCCAAGGTTTTGGGACTGGGAAAAATGTACAGGAAAAGGAGTAATAAACTTTAAATAAAGGATTAACAACACACCTAGACATTTAGCTAAAGATGAGAGAGACTTGTTTTTCAGCTAATTTGAAAGCTCAAAGGTGAGCTACTAAAATAATATTAGAACAATGATTCTGTAAATACTAAATAAGAAAATACTCACAAATCTTTTGTGTCCTTGTCCCATTCTACTACTAATTTCACATGCGCTGTGCCACCTGGTCCACAGGATCTTAGTGCCCTGTAGAATTGGGGAGGAAGCCACATGTCACTTTCTCAAAGAAAGAAGTGCCTTGAATGCCATCATGCTCTCTGAATCATATAATAGAAAATATTCTTTTTTTTTTTTTTGTGGTACTGGGGCTTGAACTCAGGGCCTTAACTTGAGCCACTCCACCAGCCCCTTTTTTGTGTGATGGATTTTTTCAAGATGGGATCTCAAGAACTATTTGCCCAGGTTGGCTTCAAATCTCAAGTCTCCTGATCTCTGCCTCCTAGAAGAGCTAGGATTACTGGCGCCCAGCCATGGGAAAATGTCATAGTTCCCCATCAGCAAAAGTTTTCAGTGAGACCATTATAACTTGTAAAATTCTTAAGTTAAAATGTCCAATAATGAAGAGACTGGAAGAAACTTAGCATCACACTACAAGGCTGTCTAGTCACTCTTGCAATCTTTCCAACTTTCCCTAAACAAGAGTGAACACGAGTTTCCTGAGAACGTCTGCTCTCTGCTCTCCACCGTCCACCTACCCCACACCATGCCTACTGTTTGTGCCCATGCCAGCCTACTCTGTACTTTCCTCCTGCCTCCTTCATAAAGCCACCCCAAGCTCACTAGCCACTGCCATCTCCGGGACACTCTTCCAGCAATCATAGTTAATGTTACTTATTTCATCTTTTCTATACAGGGCAATATTTTGGATTATTATCTAATCTATTAACTTTCATCTCTAAAATCAGTGAACTTTCAAACAAGACTGCTGTATAATTTAAAATCCTGAAATGTAGGCATTACAATATTTGTTGAAAAAAATTATTGTAATAGAAACAATGCGAGTTTTCATACTTAGAGTATACATATGTGTAATGTGTATACACTGACTACTATTATTTTAATTCAAGAGATAGCGTAAACATAATACAAGTGTGTACGAAGCACAGAAGTGGCAGAGTGGAGCAACTAAGTGTATCAGAGGAGGAGGAACAGTGTAAAGGAAGGAATCACAGTCAGAAAAAAGCACTGTACACACAGGCACATATATCAAACAGTATCACGTGTTCCCACAACCATCCATCCACTGATTTTGTGACAAGCTCAGGGTAGTGGGGTGAGAAGTAGCAAGGCCAGACAAAGGGAAACACAGAGCTCACACTGTGAAGAACCTAATAGCTGTGGAACTTGGGCTTGGCCCACTGTGGAGTTTCGAGTAGGAATGAAGCATGACTACAATGCTACTTTGGAAAACTTTAATCCTGGTGATTACATACAATGTTTTCCTAACATGGTACTCTGAGGCTTTTCTGATTTCAAGAAAAGTCATTCACTTTATATTCAGTATAAATCAAAACTAAAATAACTGCTTAACCTCTAAATGGGCTTAAAGAACCCAACACGCTTAGGTAGCAGTTAGAGCAGACACCACTTTCGGTCACACGTATGAAATTGCAGAAGGTAGCTGGGTTTGCATTTTTTTTTACCTTTCTACTGTCGGGTGGCGCAGAGGCTGCTCCTCTTGGGGCAGCAGGTACGTTATCCCCACAACACTGACCACGCGCAGACTGAATGGACACACCTGCGTCAAACGTCAACTGAAAGTTAGGCTGCTTCTCTCTGCAGGCCCTGCTTCACAGTGGCATTTCCAACACAGATCAGAGGTTCGGCAAGCTGTCATTTTGTAAAACGCTTCTCTGTAACACTCCATTGAGTCTTGAGTCACTCTAATGCACTTAAATGTGATTTACCCAGTGTGACTCACATGTTAAATGCTATGTAAGACAAGTAATACATGGCTTTCACTGAACATTAACTAATCGGTCTGCCTAAATACAGTAATGATTTTTTTGGGTGGTACTGTGGTTTGAACTCAGGGCTTTGTGCTTGCTAGAGCTATGCTTCCAGCCCTTTTTGCTTTAGTTATTTTTCAGATAGGGTCTTGTGTTTTTTTTTGTCCGGGCCAGCCTCAACCCCAATCCTCCTACTCTTGGTTCTGGCATAGGCTGGAATTACAGATGCAGGCCACCATACCTGGCTTATTTGTTGAGATAGGGTCTTACTAATTTTTTGTCCAGGCTAGCCTCAAACTGCAATCCTCCCATCTCCACCTCCCAAATAGCTGGGTTTATGGGCATGAGCCTACTGCACCTGGCCCTCATTAATTTTTAAACTATACAGATAGAGGCTCTAAAACTTGTCCAAGTTGACCATGTACCACACTTTATTAGATAAGCATTATAAAGGAACACATGGCACTTCAGGAACTTCCATGAACAAATTCCATAAAATGAGGGCTAAAGTCTCAATACTGAAAATGTGAATCACATTCCACTACAGTGACTGTTTCTTCACTGGGCACACAAGCACAGCCTGCAGGAATAGCAAAACACTTCCAAACCTGAATGCAAACCGTGGGCCTCAAGAAGTACTTCATCTTCTCCAGGATTTCCTTCTGCAGGAGGTCCCAGGCCACTGTCTTCTCCAAGTGCAGGACGAAAGGCAGACCAAACCTACCACATGAAAACACTGGAATCACCTTCAGAGAAAAGCTATCCTTTAATGCTGCAATCCCTTGTTCTTGGTCTTTTTAAATGGAATTACAATATAATTATAATTTTCAACCAGGAAAATCAGTGGTGATACTCACAAGAAGAAGAGTAAGTCAGAAGAACAGCTTAGATTTCTCAATAAAACTGACCAAAGCATTACAAAGGAACGTGATAGGCAGCAAGCCGCCAGTATCCCCAAGCCAGCAAGAAAGGGGGTGATGTGGACAGAAGTCTGCAAAGCAGAACAGGTCATGCCCACAAGGTGTGAGGTGCCAGAGGAACAGACAGGGCTGAAAGGCCACACCCTGGCAGTCTGACAAGGGAAGCACTGGCAAGCAGGTGACAGTGAAAGCTACTGCCCTGGGACAGAAGTCCTCTGGCCTGTGAGGTTCTATGTTCCAGAGAAGGAGACACAACACTGTGGTTCTCAACATCAGGTGCAGTGAAGTGACCACAGGAGTATCAAAACATGATGACCAGGTCCAGCCCCAGAGACTCTGTGATAAAGTCAGTCTGGAATGTGACCCCAGTGCTGAGACTTCCTTCTCAGGAGTTTCCAGGTGGGAATACATAGCTGAAGTTGAAGACCACTGGCCCAGCCTCCACTTCCATCTACACCCTATTTGTTCAAACCTACGTGCTGATCCCCAATGTGTCCTTCTTCCCTCCTCTCCCACCACCACCCAGGTCTCTGTGCAGACCCATCCCACCCTTCCCCTATGCTCTCTCCTGCAGGAAGGCCCCCTCTCCAAGAAGCAGTCTATTGTTTGTGCCCTGTGTACCAACAGAACTAATGACCCAGAGCTGGAAACACTGCCTGATGATAAGTCTACTTCCACCAACAGACTGTTATTTGATAGCAAAATACTGCAATTTATTTATTCTAGTAGCTCCATCTATGCCTACAAAATAGCAGATGCTCAAAGAAAAAACTAAGTGAATGATGTTCTAACAGATAAACTCAGACTCCAGTCCAACCTAAAGCAGAGGGTGCCAAGAGCTCCAAGAAACCTGTTCAACAGCACCTAGCTGGTCACTCACGGTACTTAACAGGGAACCTCTCCACCTGAAAACTAGTGGGATGTTAAATTCACTCTGTGTAGCCCAACCGTGTTTTCATAAGACAATGTCTCCACTCTTAAGAGCCTTCTGTCACTCAGGGGATTCCACAGGTCTCTACTTCTTGAAAGTATGACCAGCTGTCTTCCCCTTGGTGCTTTAATCATGCCATGCTCCTAGCCTCAGTGTCTGCACTGCATGTTCCCCTACACAGGATCCTCTCCACAGATGTTCACGCAGCTCACTCCTCCTTACCAGGAGTCTTCCTTGCAGGAGGACTCGCTCCCAGACTCCTGTTCCAGTACAGACCTGCAGCCACTCCCTGTTCTAAGCCAGTTAGTGTCATCAACATGTGCCAGCCGTCTGCAGTCAAACATGCTCAGCTGTGTAATGTGTAAGGTCGGTCTGTCCTAACTAGAATGCAAGTCCCCAAGGACAAGGACTCTGCCTGTTTTCTTCACTGCATAGCGCAGAGCTTTTGAATGCACGATAAAGGCAAACTTTTTGTTAATTAATACCACAGACACGCACAGCAACACATTTTACGATTACATCATTTACCACCCAAGGAACTTATTTCAAAGTAAAATTTTAAAAGGCTCAGATAAAGGCTATCTTGACCAATATCAGAAAACAGAGTCCTTTCTCCCAAAACACGTCTGTCTCTTGTTACTGCTCAGGTGACTAAAGTTACTTTAAAAGGTAGTCTAAAATTCCCTAAATTCTGAAAGGGCAGCTGAGAGCTGTGAGAGATTCCTGACTTGCAAAGCTGAATGAACAGTGATGTTAACTGCCACAACAACAAGTACTGGAGGGCTAGTTTCACAGGAGAAGACAGCAAGGGCAGCATGGGACATAAGGCGGGGGCATGTATGGTCCAAGTAGCTATGGGAAGATTGTTTTTAAGCTGCTAGGAAAGTCACTGGACACAGGCCTAGAGCCCCAACAAGAGCCTATGCTAGGACAGACATATGAAACGAGCCTTCCAAAATTTTGAGAGCTTTGAGAGTCTTTTTAACTAAGACACTGCTCTCCTCCCCAACCCTCACACCCACCGAACCAAGATGATTCATACATAGATTTCTTCTAGATATCTGAATCAAAAGTTAACTGCTACAGGGCAGTAGGCAAGAAGTAGCAAGCTCATGAGTTGAAGGCCAGCTGGGCTGCACAGTGAGACCCTGTCTCAAAAAAAATTAATTATTAAAAGTAAGGATTTTTTTCGCCCCCTGCTTAGAACATTTGAAAGCCTCCGACCGCTAACACCTCAGTGCTCACTGGGAAATGAGCTGGGTTTCACCTTTTCCCTTGCTGCCCCGTACAGGCTCGGTTGCACACCAGAAGAACAATCTTGTCACTTCCTGCTCGCATGCTGGGCAAATCCGTCTTCCCCTGCTTAGCTGCAGCTTGTGTTGGGGAAGACAGTCTATGATGATCCAGGCCAAATTTCAAGTGGTTTAGATTGTTGTTTAAGTGAATGCCTGAAAGAAAATAAAAACAACTTGTCTTACTTCTTCAAAATTTTTTTCACTCATTCATTACAAATAAAATTAACCAACAAAAAAAGCTGTAGGACAAGTTTCCTGAAATAACCCAACAACTACCAATCAATTAAATGCATTTTTAAGAAATAAATACAAGAACATTTGGAATGTTCTACAATTGCAGTTTTTTGTCCATGAGACAAAAGACAGCACTGCACTTACTAGATCCAGAACCTTATGAGACCTGACAATTAGACCTCAACCCCTATGGAAGTGACAGGCACAGTACTGACAGTGTCCCAAAGAGCGCTCCCTGTCAGTCAGGACAACCCAGCCATTCAGCAGCTCGCAAAGGCCCTACAGCTACTCAATAAATGCCTGACTAAGTATCTGCTTATTTCTTTCATCCTCTGGAAGTAGGTATCTAAGAAAATAATACTCCTGCTGAAGAACAGAAGAAAGAAGCCCCTACCACCAACACCATAAATAACAACAGCAGCATGAGAAGGAGAATAAACAAAAATGGCTTTCCCAAAAGTATTCCTAGCAGGATTCTGGAAGCAGCCAAAGAACCCAGCAATGCAAGAATTGCTGTTAAGATACATCAGCAATATAGCAAGGTGAAATTACAAGTGCATAGGTAATACCAAAATTAATTCCAGACAGTTTAAAAAAAAAATAAGCAAAAATGCAGACACTAGAAATAAGGAAAAGTTGAATCTTTATCAAGCTTCTGAAAGGAAGAAAAGTTTTTAAGTAGCACAAAGAAATCCCAAAAGGAACAAAAGTAGATGTCAGTTTATAGCGATTTTAAACTTTGGCGTAAGAAACAAGACAGCAGAAATGGAATTTCACAATGAATTATGTCATTTCCCAGGCTCACGGCAGTGGTGAAGGTGGAAGACCTCCTCTTGGAGAAGTAACCAGGATTCCTCAGAGGTAAGTTGATGCCACTGAACTGCACCAAAAGCAAGGTATGGCCCCATCTACTATGAGCTGTGTAACCTGGGGCCAGCTACTTAACCTGTCTATGTCACAGCTCCCCCACCCACAAAGGGAGCAAGCAGCTGTCTCACATTGCTAAACAGTATTTCTGCTTCCAGCTTACTGAAGATGAGGTGCCCAGGATCCAAACACAAGTGAGGACCTTTGGCCACCTCTGACTGGGAAGAACTTCTGAATGGGAACAGTGTTACAGAGTTCCTGGTCCCACTAAAACCAGTGGCCATTGGAATAGTGAGAAACATTAATGGGAACAACACAGGATCTTGGTGTCCTATTGCTCAGGAAGACCAGCCCTCCTATCTTTTATTACCAGTTTTGACTTTTTTTTTTTTTTTTTTGGTGGTACTGGGAATTGAACCCAGATCCTTGTGCATACTAGGCAATCATTCTACCTCTTATACCCTTCCCTTTTGATTTTGTATTTTGTTTCTGAGATAAAGTCTCACTAACTTTGCTAAGTCTGCCCTGAACTCTCAATCCTCCTGTTTCTGCCTACCAAGTAGCTGGGATTAACAGACACACATCAGTACACCCTGCTCCAGCTCTCACATGAATGGGAGCATGCATCACATCCAAAAGCAGTGAAGAACTTCAAGATGCCATAAGGAGGCCACACTTGATCGCCACACACTTAAAGAGTCTCTTTTGTGAGGAGATAACCTGCTCCTATGGAAAGCAGGTGGAGACAGGCAGCATGCCCAACTCTTCACTACCCCGAGTCTAGATGCGTGCTTTCCTCATGTTTGCTTGTAACTATCATTCATATTTCAAGATTAACATTCCCACCAGATTTATGCCTCAGTGTTTTAGAATTTTATACACTATATGTTAATAGCTGTTTGAAGATTTCTTACTTTAAAATCACTGTCAATTTTGGGTAGACCTGACTGATATGCAAGTATTTAAAAATTAAGGATGAAAAACTTATATAAATCTTGAGTTTAGTACAAATTAAGTATATATTCTATTTTAATAAATGCTACTTTGTTTTTAGGTATCTGGTAGTTTAAACATGGATATAAAATTTCGTTCATCTTCCTTTCATTAATAAGGAACCACAAAGTCATTTGTCTAAGGATTTGGGTCTAATGGAATGAAAATGATCATTATTTTCCATAAATGAATGAAATTATCTTACCCAAATTAGGTGAAATTAGTCTCACAAGTTTATTTACTACATAGGTGAAAGCACATTAGCATATTTTTTGTGCTATTACCCATGACACTAAAGATATTTGAGACTTTCAGTAATGTATGGGAAGACTGGAGCAAGAGTAGGGAAAAAGGCAATACCGGAAAACCATAAATATTAACAACAAATATCAATACTCACATGGAAGTATATAAATAAACAGTTTATAAATTTGATTATTTGTATTTTGTTTTCTTGAGTCAGGGTCTCATTACATTGCTCAAGGTAACCTGGGACTCCCTACGTTGCTGGGACTGGACTCAAACTCACAATCCTCCTGCCTCACCTTCCCAAGATCTGGGATTACAGGCAGGTACCATCATACCCAGGTGAACTGGGTACTTAAAAATAAATTTATCACAAAGACTGCTTTCTGTAATTAACACTGGTAGTCTATCACTGATTATCAGTAACCAAAATGTTCATTTCTACCTCTTCCCAAACTTCTTCTGAAAGCACTTTTTTCTGTATTTTCACTATGACAAAAATATCAGCCTATATGTGACTAATCTAAATGAGAGAATTATTGTATGAGGCTACTGAAAATAAGCGTATGTGAGTAACGCCACTGAGCAAGTTTCATAAGTTTTTAGACAGCAAATGTAAGCATTAAAAATTAGCGATTTGACTTTCCGTAAGAGCTGTGAAATGTGTTAGGTGTGACTGTCCATTCAGCATCTCTGTGTGAAGTATGCTTTTGTTTTGCTTTGTTTCACTTTGTTTTGTTGTTTTTGTGTCACTGGGGATTGAGCCTGTTAGGCAAAGGCTCTACCACTGACCAGCACACCAGCCCTCTGTACAAAGTTCTTAATTCAGCTGCTCTGTCCATTCATGAGAAAGTGAGTGTACACCAGCTGGCTACACAAATTACCAATGCTCTTCACAGTTTAATTCAGTTTGCATTTTAATCAAAATATAAAGGTATCTTAAAATTTATTTCCATTTATTTTTATATAATTAATATTTATGATTTAACCTGTTTTAAAAGTCTCAATTTTTAGTTACTTGGTAAGCAGATGTTTCTTGTGAGGCTGACTTTGGAGAAATAGTAAAAATTAAGACTTTTTATCTTTTGCCAAAATTATACATAAAGCTATCAAGAGAGAAAACTGATTATAATTTTCAACTCCTAACAAACTATGAGACACACTCTCAAAGGCAGACTATGTTAAGATCGAGGCTGTATTAACATTGAGGCTGGGCCTCCTGCCTTATTGTACCACAGTAACAACCGTATTTCAAGTACGTTTATGGTAAAAATTCTAAAATAAATTTGGTTTTTATGCACTAAAAAAAAAATAAACCCTTCAGACTGATATCTCTCTCTCTCTCTCTCTCTCTTCCTCTCTTTCGGTAGCCCCTTCAGCCACACACTCCACCGCCATAATGTTCTGCCTCACCACAAACCCACAGCAATGGAGCCAGTAGACCATGGATTAAACTGTTTGAAATCATGAGTCAAAATAATCTTATCTCCTTTAAGCTGATTTTCTCAGGTATTTTGTCACAGCACCAGAAAGCTTACAAACAGCGATGATTGGGTATTGTTTTCCATAATGCAATACAGTTAGAAAATAATTTAAGAAAACATAAGTTTATGAATGAAACTACAACAACTGAAAGATAAATTTGAAAAACTCCTGGTCAAAGAAGAATGAAAACTGATACAAGTAGGCCAAACAAAGTTGAATCCTAAGCTAGCAGTGGAGAAAGATGACCAACCAAATACAACCAAATATTTAGAATTACCAAAAGAATCTGAAACTAGAGGCCCTAAGAGGCATCTGAAAATAGAGGGTAAGTAAAAGAGGAACTAAAACAAGGACTTTTGACAAGGGCACCAAGACCCTTCAACGAGGAAAGAACAGTCTCTTCGGCAAACAGTGCTGACAAATGAATAGTTATATGTGAAAGAATAAAGTTGGGATACTACCTCATGTCATCCACAAAAATTAACACAAAATGTATCAGCAACCTAAATAGAAGTGTGCAAACTATAAAACTCTTAGATGAGAACACAGGAGTAAACCTTTATAACTTTAGATTAGGCAACAGTTTCTTAAATATGACATTGCAATCATGAGCAAAGGAAAAATTGAAAAGTTAGATTCCATCTAAATTAAGAACTTTTATGCAAAGGACACCATCAGGAAAGTGAAAAAACAACATACAGAGTGAAATAAAATATCTGCAAATCATATACCTAAGAAGAGTCTTTTATTTCATACACAGGCTTATGAAGAATTATTATAAGAAAAATTCAATGCACTTTAAAAATGGGCAAAAAACTTGATCAGGCCTTTCTCCAGAGAGAATACAGAAATGGCCAACAAGCAAAAGGTGCCTGAAATGATTTTTAAGAGTAAAGCAGAGGGAACAGAATGTTAACACGCACACAGGCACACATCCAACGAAGAGCAAGTGGTTTAAAGTAAACCTGCCCTGGTAGACAGAGGAGACACAAAGAACATAGACAACTTCATACAGCGGGCAGGTGAAAGGTCAGATGATCACTACAGGAATCAGATTCAGGGTTCAGAAAGACCACTGCTAGCAATCAGAGAAATGGAGACTTGATTAGAAGTAAGAAAAACAGCTGTCAGACACAAGAGAATGGAATCTGAAAAGACATCAGCACGTGCACTTTATAAAAACCTTGAAAAAAAATTCTACCATCACATAAGACCCACTGTCAAATCTGTAAGGTCACATGGTTTCATGGAAATGAGGGCTCATTTACCTCTTTGACTGAGAATTCCTTCAGGCCTAAAGATTTCTGGAGTCTCAAAGGCAAAGATGCAATCACTTTCATGGACCGTTTCCAGGTCGTCTGTATCACAAAAGGAACGATGGAACCCATCATAATACATTTCCGTTAACACAATCTAAAAAAATGGGAAAAATGGGAACAGTTGGATAATTGGAAATTCAATATGAATTGATCTCCCAATTCTACATGATCTTCTCAGGACTCTAAGAAGAAGGACTCTAAAATATCTCACAGAGCCCATTATTTGTCTTCAATGAAATGGTTTTTTTTTCTCCCGCACAGTACTGGGGTTTGAACTCAGAGTCTTATACTTGCCAAGAAGGTGCTGCACCACTTGAACCATGCCCCCAGCCCCTTTGCTTTAGGTACTTTTCAAATAGGATTTCACATTTATGCCTGTGCTGGCCTGGACTGTGATTCTCCTATTTCCAGTTCCTGCATAGCTAGATGACAGCTAAACACCATCACACACAGCTTTCACTGGTTAAGATGTGGTCCTGTGAACTTTTTTGTTCAGGCTGGCCTTGAACCACAATCTCCACCTCCAGAGTAGTTAGGATTACAGGAGGGAGCCATGGTGCCTGGTTAATGAAAAACACAATATCCTCTGTAGCTGTATCCTCTGTTCTGAAGCTCTGACTTCAGAACTCTATGGCAATAAATCCAGAGTTCCTTTAACTTTTTGGTGTAAGAGAGAGCAAGGAGGCTATTGAGCTCAATCCCTTATTTAACCAGAGGAAGAGGGTTGAAAGGTCTGCAGTTCCACAACTATCCCGTATCACAGAGAGCATTGGACTTCACATCTAACTCCAAGACTTTCTCACACACCATTAAATTTTCCTCTTTTCAGGTTAAAAATGTCAAATAACTGTGCATGTCTATATTAAAAAAATGAAGTCAACTCACATGCCCAGTAACTAGCTTATTAAGGCCCTGCTCAAATGATAAGGCTATTAAAAATGAACCATGTTTATTTGCACTTACAGGAGAGACCTAAGTAAATAAAATTCGAGGTAAAGAACAATATGTATAAATAATTCTACTTTTAGAAAATAATGTATGTGCGTAGGAAAACAATACTCTAAAGTTAGTAACCTTTGGTACTAAGACACTTCCACTTTCTAAGCTGTTATTTCTGAAGCAAGCATTTTACAATGAAATAGAAAAACAAAAGATAGCAAGGAAACAATGGAGACACTGACAGCTTTTGGAACACGCTCAACAGCATTGTCCAGTGAGAAAACACTGGGCTGGGCATGAGGGGGTTCCAGTACCAGCCTGCCACCAACCAGCCCTGTGACCCTGAACAAGTCACATTGTTGGGCCTCCCTCAAATGGGGTTTGAAGGGGGGTTCACTGGGCACCCCAAGGTCTCTACTACTAGCTCTAACATTCTGTGGAGTCTATGAAATAAAAGGGGCTGGTGACCTATCCCACAAATAGCCCAGGAAAAATGTTCCTGGCATGTTTCCTCCTAATTAATTTAATAAGCATACTGTTTTTCTGCCAGTGAACATGCAAGTATAATTCACTCTCTCCAGCAAGCTCAGGTCAAAAGCAGACTTGTAATTATTCTGCCAATTTAAACCGCATGCAAAAAGAACCAGACAGTACTGAAGCTTCACAGAGATCCAACTACTGAGGCCTCCTCTCTCTCTGATTTCCCTCATGCTAGAGGAGGAAAAAAAGCATCAAGAAGCTCTTTAGGCTAAGGAAGAAATATGAACAGTTCATCAGTGCACCAAGACTTGGCCTATGAAAATGGGAGAGAACTGCTCTATTAGAGCAACACTGCTTGGCTATATTTGTCTTAATGTGGGACCTTCCCAGATAAGGCCAAATGAAGCCAAAGCACAAAGCACCTTTATTATTCAAGTGATTAAAAGTAGCTTCCAAAGCTATCCAGGGAAAACTATTTAGCTACTAAGTCATCTTTCCTTAGTAAGTCTTAAATGTTTTTCAAAATAAAATCATAACAGCAAATTGAGCAAGAACTGTATGTAACAATGTGTCAAATCACAAACGGACCCAGAGTATTTTTAGCCATTTTAAACATAACTACTCATTGAAGGTGTCCCCCTCCAAAAAAGGGTACATAACTTTCCCTCGTCTAAACAAGGAAGACTCTGGCCCAACTTTAATAAGAAAACGATACAGTGGTAGAGTTCTTACGTGGCATGCTGGAGGCCCTGGATTCAACCCCCAACATCCAACATTGCTGGGGAGGGGGACAGAGCAGGTATGACAACACTGTTGGCAAGGTGTCAATTCTCATCACCATAATGGAAAGGAGTGCTCCACAGTCACTGTTTTCTAAGCCTTTTTGACTGTCAAACACCACAGGACACTGTTCTACTGTCCACATCCACATCCACATCCACAGGCATGACTGAAGAGGGCTTCAGCCATTACACTAACTAAAGCTCCAAGAAGTTCCAGCTTTTCTTTTTGCATACATGAGGACATCTGCGGATGACCAGCTGAACCACACTACAGCATGGGCCTGGCTGCTTCATGCACCTGTTCACCCTGCAAACTGAAAGGTGCTTGTTTCTATAACGGTTTCTAACAAAGCCCATGTTCAAGTTAATCTGTGTATGTGTATGTGTGTGTAAAATTAAATGAAGCATAAACAGGTTTTCTACACATTTTATTCTTTTGGGTCCTTATTTTTTCCTCCCTCAACACTAGATACAACTGATTTTAAATTTTTGGCAGAGAAGTGTAAGAAATTCGAAAGAAATAGCCGGCAACACTTTCGTGACTCACTGGGGTTGGACTCAGCAGGGTCATTACCTGATCAGTGGGGATCTTTGTCTCCATAGACACTGCTTCCCGAAGCTTGGCAACAGTCCCAGACAGAGGCACAGCCACGCCAATTCTCATGCAGTGGGAACATTTGCCTTGATACACTACGGTGACATAGAGAGGCCTGTACAGATCAAAGTCAGATCTCCTCATTAGTCACCAAAATAAGACATGAAACAAACCTCATCTGAAATCAACACAAAAAACAAGCCACATGGGAAAAGTTCATTTGGGCTTAAGCAGAACTAGCAAGAAATAATTAAGAGATCTTTGGAAAAGGAAATCCTCACAAAACAAATATGTAACATATCAGTACTCCATTCTGACCTTTGAATTTTCTTTAAAATAGCCTAACTTCTGGAAGTTTTGAGAAATGGTTCAAAGTAAAGCAACTAATTAAAAATACAATGTATCGTCTCCAGAGAATCCAAAGTCACTCAACAACCTTACCTAGCCCCCAGACTATCAATGAATTCTAACAAAGCCTGTGCTCATGCTACCATGAAACATATGACTTGTCTTAATAAGTAAGATGACCTAAACGATTCTGCAGAGCAAAAGGTGCAGTGCCGAGTGTACAGTCTTAATTTATTAGATGTGTTCTTACCTTGTGTGGGGCAGAGGAATTGGCAAAGAAATGCAGAGGAAAGGATCAAAAGTGTTGCTCTGTTTCTGACAATGAGGGCATGTCAAAGAAGATCTTTGGAAACAAAAATGTAAGACACATTAAAATCACCTACAACTATGCCAAACATTCAAAAGAAGAGGTACATCTGATTTGTTCATACCTGTACTGGGCTTGAAAAAGTTCTTGTACAAAAGTGCTACACACAGGAAAAGATGGCCCCTCAGGCATCATCATATCAGTCTCTGACGGTGGCTAAAAAAAAAAGTACCAATTCTTGGTTACAGAGGAGCCTGAAAAGACACAGTATTTTTTACTTCTCTAACAAACTGTGCATCGAGGCCAGGTGATTTAGTGGCAGGCACCTGCTAAAGGAACCAGAACACAGTGACAGCCTGTGGGCCATGTAGAAAGACTGCCAGAGACCATGCTTAACACCTCTAACCCATTCAGGGGGCAGAATGCTCTCCTTCCCAGGGTGCTCCAACACCCCTCTGACTCAAAGTCCCCACCCCAACCTCTTCCTCTTCTGGGAAATAATCCCACCACTCTCGGAGTCCCAGTTCTTTCCATGCCTAAATCCCTCAGCACCTATTAGTTGTGCTCTTGTTTGTGGTACCTAGTCACACTATCTCACACTTATTTAACCTTTTTCTGCTCCTCCACTTAATAACAAGTGACTGAACAGCCGCTACCACATGCAGAGAGCAGCCTACAGGGCAGCAGAACACAAAGATAAAAAAGACTGGGTGCCTGACCTTGAGGAAGTCTCAGTTGGTGGGAGAGTCAATCACACGCATAGAGTCCTATGACAATATAGTGTTCAAGCACAAAAGGACCTTGAATCAGAATAACTTAAACTTACCAATACTAGAAATGTGAGATCTGGAGCCCAGAGCAGAATTATCAAAAACTTTAAAAGTTGTGTAGGGGAAATAACTCTTTAGTCTTGACTTTTTTTCTATTACATAATTACTTTGACCATCATATTAAGGCTACGTGTTTAAAAACTGAGTATAAGGGCTGAGGGGGAGGGGTTGGTGGATGGAGGAACATGGCTCAGCTGATAAGACTGAATGCCCAGCAAGTGTAAGGCCGAGTTCAAACTCCAGTATTTAAAAAAAAAAAAAAAAAACAGTATGAATTGTTATGTTTCTCAGTAAGACCATTCTGGATCTCAACTCTAATTCTGACAGCAGATCCATACAGTTCCTTTCTGTGTATTTGTTCTAATGCTCGAATCACAGTGTGTGTCTTACTGGAACAGAAAGCAAATGTTTCCTCTCTCAGTAGGTTATAAGTTCTGTGGAGATGGCATCTCCAGTACCTTATACTGCCAGCACAGTAGTAAACAAGATGCAATAGCTCTGTCGGTATCCATTTAATTTTATATCATCACCAGGTTAGTCTCTTTCATTCTATTAACTAAATGCAACAAGTGGGGTTTGGGAAAAGGCTCTCCTTCCCCCTACCCATTTCCTGATGTCCACTGTCCTGACTGCCCCAGGGAGTGCACGCCCTCACCTTCAGAGGAGGCTGGCCACTCTGCTTTACAGCATGATTGAGATCTTCATGAACTCGGTCCAAAAGCCACAGCAGAAACTCCTGGGCGTCATGCTGGGAATTTCCCCGGTACTGCAGTGCATTCTTTGACACAATACTCTAGGCAAGTAAATAAACCAGCATGAACAGTTGTGAGTTCCTGACTTTGAAGACAAATTATTCTTCATAATCCCAAAAAAAGCAGGGAGAGCTTCCAAATAGGCATTCAAGATCTCCAAGGTACTGGAGAGTACTTCCCAAGACAGCCATGTTAAAAACAGATGCTTCATTTAAATCTTTCTCTCTAGAAACACGTACTAAAACCTTGAAATGCATTTATCTAGCAATCTACTTATAAGAGGAAATTAAAAAAAAAACAAAAAAACCACCAGACGAGCATGCCAAGGCTTCTAAGAAGACATTAACCAGGTTTATAATAGCAAAAGACTGGTAATAACTTGAACACCTTCAAATGGGAAATAGTTAAATATGTTACAGCACAACTATATGACATAACCATTCTACATAATGCACCATATTAACTGAAAAAAGATTGCAAATCAGTAAAGTATGAGTGTTAAAAACTGTGTGTATAAATAAGTGCATTGGAAGAAAAGATTCTAAAATGATATATTCCGAGACACTAAGTTTTATCTCTGGAATCAGAGGTGCTCTTTTTTTCTTTATACTTCTCATATTTTCTAAAGTTTCTACAATGAACTCATATTACTTATCTAATAAAGGAGTTAAAAATTTTTGTTTCAAGTTTTACAGTAACAGAATTCAAACTGATTTTGCTAAAATGGTAAACTTGTATTTAGAAACAGGACATTTTCCAGCGTTGTCACTAATTCAACAAAGATTTAGTGAATAACCTAGTGAGGGAGAAGAGGAAAGTCAAAGCTTAAAGTACAGCATGATGGCCTGTGGTAGTGGGAGCCAAGTTTCTACTGTGAGTGGGAAGTCACAGATAAGCAAGAAGGCTACAACAAATCGGTCAGAGAGCACACTAGGGAGGGGTAAGAACAAGTAAGACATCCAAAAAACTAGATAGCATTTGTTGCCCTCAATGCAGAGAAACTAAAGCAGATACTTTAAAGCAACTGAGGCCAATAGGAGAAGGGGACCAGGAACTAGAGAAAAGGTTAGATCAAAAAGAATTAACCTAGAAGATAACATCCACGCACAGGAAATCAATGTGAGTCAACTCCCTGTATAGCTATCCTTATCTCAACTAACAAAAACCCTTGGTCCTTCCTGTAATTGCTTATACTCTCTCTTCAACAAAATTAGAGATAAGGGCAAAAGTTTCTGGCTGGTAGCGAGGGGGGGAGAGGGGGGAGTAAGAGAGGAGGTGGGGGGAAAGGGGGAGAAATGACCCAAACATTGTATGCACATATGAATAAAAGAAAAAAAAATGTCAGTATAAACTCATGTTTGGCTTGATATGAACAAAGATGGACAGGTTAGATAACTATTCTCATACATGCTTGGGTTTGTGTGCATATATGTTTCTTAGCTCTGTCTACAGAAGGACACCAGAAAGCACAGAAGCAGTTGTATCCTTGCATCAATTTGCAAACCCAGTATGCAGACTTTAGCCTCTGGCACCTTTTTCTCCCATCTAAGTACTAACCAGGCCCGACCCTGCTTAGCTTCTGAGATCAGACGAGATCGGGCGCGTTCAGGGTGGTGTGGCCGTAGACAACCTTTTTCTAATAAAAAGGAAATAGTTGATCCTAGCACTAGAACAGCAGCCCGTCAAAGGGACACAGGGCCCAAGCTGAAAGCTCAAAGGGCCAAAGTTGGAATAATTTCAGCAACAAAATAAATAACATACATTAGATTATAATCCACCCTATAAAATAAATACCTATAACTAATAAAATTTTAGATGACTGAATAAACAGGTGAGAGAGAAGTGAAAAATCTCCTTTACAGAGAAATTCCAACTGACTCATGTTGACAATCCTACCTTCAGAAGGTGCCCTATACTAAAGTGAGTTAACAGTGGCTGGCTTCCAAAGTACAGAAAGAGGAGTAGAAAACAACCTTCAGAGTCAAGACCTGGCTAACACAGCCTCAGTCAGCTGATCAAGGTTAACACCCGTTGGTAGAAGATCCCATTGCTAGCATGCACCTTGCTGTAACGTGATGGGGAGATCATTTCACCTCTGGTTTCGTCTGAGAAACTCAGCCTCCATCTAGCTGTGAGATAGACAGAAAAATTCAAATTGAGAGACATTCTGCAAAAAAACCAAACTGCTGCCTCTCAAAACTATCAAGGTCATCAAGAAAGGAGAAAGCCTGAGAAACTGCCACAAACCAGAACAGATTAAGAAGACACAATGTAATGTGCTTTCTTGGATGGGTTCCTAAAACAAGGAAAGAAATAAAGAAGAAAAAAAGAATAACTGGTGAAATCCCAATAAAGTGCGAAACATAGTCAATTACCATGCCAAATTAGCTTCTTAGTTGTAACAACTGTAGTGAAGTGACTTAGGCTGGTAACAAGAAAACTGGGTATGGACCTTACAGGAATGCTCTATGCTACCTTTGCCAACTTTTCTGTGAATCTAAAATTATCCTAAAATGTAAAAGTCTTTAATCATGAACATGTATTTACAACTTTTTAGAAATAAAAATATAGCAGGTGTGCATACGGCATCCGCTTCCTGAGAAGCAGGAAGGCAGTGACAGCACCCGGAGAGAAGGTACCACTGGGTGTCCTTTGAAGGACAGAGGTGGGAATTCAAGCAGAGGAAGCAACACTGTCAAACACACAAAAGTGTAAGAAAATATGATACCTTCAGGGAAGACCAGGAGGTTCAAGAGGCCTGAAATCCCAGGTCTGTCAGGCAGAGTAGGAAGAGATGAAAAAACATCCAGACCAGCAGGAGAAGGATCTTTCAAAGCTACCTGAAGATGGCATAGGCAGCCAGCAGGCTGGTTCAATCATGCATTCTGGAGTGTAGAGCCTGGGTTCAAATCCCTGTTCCCCAATTAGTATTTGTGAGACAAAGGATGACCCCTCCAAAGTAAAAGGGATTGTATTAACCCATTGTGACTACTCTATGAGAACGTACACAAAACACTTTATATGTGACACAATAAAGCACTCAAATTTTACCTGTATTATATTTGAAGCCAAGCAAGGAGAGGAGACATCTGCATAATGGCAGAATAGTTAGGAAACAAAATGAGGAAGAACTAACAAGGGCCTAGGCTAACACTGTGAGGACAGAAAAGGGAAGGCAGAATTGCAAAAGATTTAGGAATTTAAGTGGTAGAATCAACAGAATTTGTGAGCCAATGAGAGTGGAGAGAGCAGAAATAAGCCTTAAAGTTACCCAGGTGTCTCCTCTGGATGATGTGTAACTGGTGGTACCCTCCACCAAGACAGGAAAGAACAAAGTCCAGGGAGGAGAGTGACACGTTCCCTTTTAAATCTTCTGTATGTAAGTTGTAGAGCCTCCAGGAAAAGGACCTGGTACACAAATGAAACATCCAGGACAAAGGTTTGGGTGTCAATAGATGGGTGGCTGAAATCATGAGTAAAGCTGAGATTGCCCAGAAAAAATCATGAGATGAAGCCAGAAGATAGACCCCAAAAGACCCGTCTGTTTAGGGGATAAGGGTACCTCGAAGATGAACAAGAAAAAGCCCTCAAAGATGTGGCAAGAAAATCAGAATGGAGTCCCAAAAGTCAAGTGGAGAGGGTTTCATGGAGAGGGAGATCAATGGCATTAAAGGTGAAGGCTGGTAAAGCAAGCCAAAGGCCTAAGAACTGCCACTGCATTTCCAGTGAAGATAGCAATAGAGACGAAAAGGGGAACCAGATTTGCAATGTGATTGTGGGAAACCATCACAGCTTGATCATTAATTAGATGTGAAAAACAAGATTCATGAGACATCTTGAGATTCAGAACTGGGGGGGAAGAATCAATCAGATATTAGACAGAATACAGGTAACACTGGTAAAACTCGCTAACTGAACACAGCAAACAAGGGGGAGTGGCAGGAAGGACGCTGCAGGGTGCCATCTCAGAACAGGCAGACAGAAGAGGCCCAGGTATGGGAAACTCTTTACAATACAAAGCGACGTCCCCCAGGCAGAAGTCAGGTGCCACCCAGATCACCAAATCTTCTTTCTTTCTCAGTCTTCACTTCTTTAATCTCCCTGGAGCACTTAGGGACCTGATATCCTTCTCCACTTTGAAATGGTTGTCTTGTGGCCTCATGTCCCCTTCCTTTAGGAGAATTAAAACCAAAACATGCATGTGAACTACGGAAGAGAGGACATCCTCATTTTTGAAAATGGCTGGATAAAAACCATCATTAGCACCAGCATTCAACCTATGGCTGATGGCACCAGACTGATGGAGCTAAAGACAAAGCCAGTGATAACACCGCAGATATCTGTGTCTGACAGTGGCTAATGAAATCAGGGAGAAATTGGGGACCACAGAGATTTGAACAAGTTGCCTTTGAGGCACTACATGATCCCAAGGGAGACTAAGCGCAGTGCTTGGGAAAGTGATCGAAGTGGGACTCGCCCATGGCGACTGTATGTGCATAGAGCAAAGCAGGGACCGCCTGTGATAAAAGGAGACAGTGGGGACAGAATTTTGAAGAACATGGGGACAAGTCATAGGAATGGAGTCCATGAAGAATGGAAATGAGGTATGGCTTCCCACCGTGAGGAAGAAAAGACCTCCAAGGAGATGGAAGCAACACACAAACCACTATGGAAAAGTCACAGCAGGTAGGCAGTGGGACAGGTCCTTTGCAATGGCAATTTAAGAAGTTGCTTCCCTGTGCAAGGTTGGTGAAGCAGAATATCCATCAGAGAGGGTTGAAAGACAAGAAACAGTAAGGAAACTGAATGACTGCTGAGACAAGTCTTCATATCCACAAAGCTGTTTTGTAAGGAAGAAAGATACATACACTGCGAGCCGAAGCTAGTGGAAAGGAGAGATCTGACTAAAGGATTCCTCAGTTCAGGGTGGAGGAAGGATTCAAAGGAGGCAGAGACATTGACCTCAAACAGAAGATGCGAGAGACAGAAGACAAGGAGCAACGCTAGTCCTCAACTCAGATAAGCTGAGCCACAGACAAGA